AGACAGAAAAGACTAATATTGAGGTTTGAAAAATGAGCACATACCAATATTATTCCATGTTTATCATACTAATGCATGTACATGTACAATACATATATACATGTACGTGTACATGTATGCCTTATCTTCTTATTATTACTTTTTATTAGGCTCAGTGTATAGAGAAACAGTTTGTTCATCCACCTGATGTAATGCCATCACCAACTGAAATGCTTAGAACCTTGATGCAGCTAATGGCGGTAATTACTCAAACCATTTGAGTTAATATTTATAATCTCTCTCTTGCCTCTCTTCTGTCTCATAGATTGCCTGTCGATCAAATCACGAGTTCAGAGCATTTGAATTGGTTGACATGATGACATTAGAACAAGGAGTAAGATTATTCATAATATACTAATAAGATACATTATAATGCTCCTTTTCTTACTAGCTGGAGCTAGCATTACAGTATGCTAGTCAATCGGGTCACTTTCGTTTGGCGCGTCAAATCAGCAATCTAAAGGAGAGGAGGGCAATAGCAGCTGCCACTGAAGGGGAGGAAGAGGAGGAAGAGGAAACTAATAATTATTATACTCATCGTCGTCAGGCAGAGAGCAGCTCATCAGTTTATGAGCCGGGAAGGTCTTATCATGACTCAAGACGCAGTGCCAGCACTTCAAAGAGTTCTTCACAAGAGCCAAAGGATTCTGGTAGGACGCCTCTTAGTGCCCGTAGGATGCTATTATTGAAACCAGCCAACAAAGAGAATAAACCAGAATCACCTGAAGAGAGTAAGGAGGAGGAAGAGGAAGAGGAGGAGAATAAAGAAACAGGAGCTGAGGCTAGTCTGGCTAATGATGGAGGAGGAGGAGAGGAAAGTGACCTAGTGTCTAATAATAGTCTGGAGCTTATTAATGAATCCACTGATGTCATCACTGGATCCATTGATAGTCAGTTTACTTCACCTCAAGTTAGCAAGCAGTGAACATCAAATCCATTTAAAGTGAGAAAGATACTGAATATATAATGAATTGATGTACTGCACAATGTTAATTTATGACTGTACGTGGACTGTGTGGGCCAATTGCTACCCTTGAGTGTCTATTTATTTAGAGAGCAACTCCAGTTTCAAAGCAGATCCAGGTGGACAGGAGATCAAGTTTTCTGGATAAGATCAGTCAAGAAGTGCAAGAGGAGAAGGAAAAAGAAAAACAAAAGAAAATGAAGAGTATGTATACATTATAGCAGACACATTGTATCCTTATTCTGGACTCTGTGTGTAGGTAAATTAAAACCAGCCAATACAATTACTACTAAAGCTAAAGGAAAGAAAAAGAACACCAGTGGCTCTAGTAATAACAATAATG